GTATTTAATTTGAAAGGGCAGGAGAGAGAGGGGGAGGGGGAGGGAGATCAAGCCCAAGCTTGAGCTTGGGCTGGGCCAGGCTGAAGCCAGGAGTCAAGAACTCCATTTGGATCTCCCACATGAGTGGCCGGGGCCCAGGTACTTGAGCCATCATCCACTGCCTCCCAGGATGTGCATTAGCAGGAAGCTGGATCAGAATCCAGGGGGGAGACTCAACCCCACCCACTCTGACTTGGGATGTGGGATATGGCCATCCCGAGCAGCTGAGCCATGACACCTGTCCTGTCTGCCCATCTTTTCGGCCCGCAGGCTCTCGCTCACTTCCTCAGGCAGGGCCACCCCAACTCCCTGGAGGTGCCCTCCCCACCCTCTCAGGCAGGACCAGTCTCCTGCATGCCATCACATCATCCCACCCTCCCTGATGCCAGCTCCCATTAACATGTTCCTCACTCTGCCTTTCACAGTGCTGCTAACCCACACACACTTTCTGCCCCCAGACTGTGGGTCCCTGGGGGAAGCCTGAGGCTCGGAAGCCAGCCTTTTATTTCTGTTTTCCTTACTGCATTTTGTACCCTGTGGCTTCTTCAAGTGTTCAAGTGTTCACACCTGCCATTCCCCATGCGCTTGAGCCCTGTGGGGCTCCCTGGGGTCTGGTCCCTGCTCACCACGTAGGAAACCCAGGAGGTGGCAGCCTGTCTCTGCTCCATCCTCTGCTCGACTGGGCTCCCTCCACTCTCAAGGCAACCTCCCATGCCCGCTGGTGCCCAGCAATTGCTGGAAATGTCCACCCCTCCCCCCTCTCCCTTCCATCATGTCTACCATCCAGATTCCCGAGGCTGAACTTACAGAGAGTCATAGCTGCTATGGACCCCCTCCCTGACTCCGACCCCGACCGCTCCCCAGCCCCCGGCCCTGGTACATGGCAACCCTCCCCTTTCCAGTCCATCTTTCTGCACTGATCACACAATCTGTGTCCCGCATATTCCACAGGCATGCTCCACCTTCTGACATCATTCACGAAATTCCCCTCTCCAAGCCCTCCCTTCTCCCCTCCACTGATCCAAATCCTCCCACCCTGCGAGGCGGGCTCTGGTCTCCCCACTTGTCTGACGCAGAACTTACTCCCTGAGCCTCATTACAGTCCTGTTGCAATCAGTAAGCACCACACTGTTTAATATTTAATTATTCTGCACACTGGTTGTTGTTGTTTTTTCTTTTTAAATGCACAGACACTTTCTTTCCCTCCCTAGGTTATAAGCTTCTGAGCAGCAACTGGGGACCGGTGACCAAGGCTGCAGCAGTCCCCTGGTGGTTTCATGATACCTCCTTCTGGCTGGCTTTGCAGAGGAGCTGGGAAGGGCCCTGTGCAACACCACGGGACCCAAGCAGGGGCTAGCCTGGGGAAGTGGCTTTAGCAAGGTGATTAGGGCAGGGAAACTCATGGAGAATTTTACTTAATATAACTTTTCCCAACAGCTTCTTTTAGGTCAGGCCACGAGGTCATTTGCTTCAGGTTGGGCACACGTGTCCATCTTGTGGCCAAGCCACAGGTAAGTCCACGGGCCTCCCGGAACATGCTCAGTCTGAGCACAGGGTAGGGAAGGGGGTTCCCGCTGCCCTTGCCTTAAAGCCTAGGTTCATTTTCCTCTTTCTCTGCCTCCCTTGCCCTGCGGACTCTGCATGTTCATTCCCTGCAGCTCCCCTGGCTTCCTTCCTGCTGGCCTCAGGAGTCCTTCAGCCTGCGCCTGTTCCTCCATCAATGTTCCCTGTCCCATGTCCCGGCACAGACTCCGCAGTAATCTCCAGCTGACCTACAGCAGGGGCTTCCTCCACTTCTTCTCTCCATCCTCCCTCTGGAAAACCGGGTTTCTTGGAGGCCATCCTGGACACTGGTGATGGCCTCTGGACTTTGAGGGAGCCCATGCTCCCCAGGCCAGGGCATCTGTTGAAACATTCCTCAAACACTTGCCATGTTGGCTCCAGTGGAACAGGAGGGGATGGACACATGGTGCCAGGCCCAAGGGGACTCAGAGTGCAGCAGTGGAAGAGGCCATACGGGAGTAGGGCAAAGTGATGTGATAGCAGGGAGATGTATGGTGTGCAAGGCCCATGAGGGACCACTCTGGCTGTGCCAGAGAAAGCAACCCAGGGATGTGACATCAGAGCGGAGGCATGAAGAGCAGTTGGCAGCTGGATGGGGGTCGGGGAGACAGTATTCTCTGCAGAAAGAAAGAAGCCAGAGACAGCCAGCCCCGTTTGAGGGGTTAGATGGAAGATGGAAGACAGGAAGCTGATGCTAGAGAGTGGCAGGGGGTATTCCTGGGTAAGTCGAGACACATAGGTCATAACTAACAGAGGCCTGGCTGGGCTAAGGCTAAGCAGACACTGTTCATGAGGACTTAGTCCCAGGTGGGGCAGCAGGGAAATCTTTAGGAGAACCCTGACCTGGAGCAGGGCATCCCCAGGGTGCTTTCTCCACCACCCCCATCCCGCTCCGCCTGCTTCTGCCACCTGCTCCAGCCCTCTCTCTGCAGAGCCTGCTTGTGTTGCTACCTTTCAGATGGTGAAGCTGGCTCCAGGCTCCAGGCTCCAGCTCCTGGGAGAGGGACTCTGAGCATATAGCCGTGAGCTGCCAAGGCCAGGGTGTCACACATCCAAACCCAGGGCCAGGGCTCACATCGAGGAATGGGGTGGCAGGTTCCGAGCTGTATGTTTGGCAAAAGGTGCCCAGCACAGTGTGGCACTGTTACTGCTCCTCCTGAGCCTGCATCTTGTAGGAAGGAAATGCATAGATCCCTACAATCTCAAGGATTTTAATGACAAAATATCATATTTGTGAGCCCTTACTCCACGCTGGGTGCTTTGCTAAATGATCCATGTGCATTTTTTCACTTAATTCTTGTGGCTCAGTGAGACAGATGCAATTATTTGCAGTTTGCTGATAAGATATTAACAACAAGCAGCTTTGATAAAAATAACTTAGCAGCATTTATTTGAGCAAACACCAATTCACAAAGGAGGCAGAGCTGTGGACCAGAGAGGTTCAGAGGCTATGCTGTGCAGGTGAGCAGAGGCTTTCTATAGGCTGGCTGTGGAAGCAGGACAGACAGTCCTTGATTGGCTACCACAAGGATTTGGGCATGATCTGGTGGATAGTCCCTGGCCAGCTGTCAGTTTCCGGTTAAGTCTCTTGTTTTGTTTTACTCTTCATACTCAGCTTCCATTTGATTACTGAGGAACCCAAAATACTAGAGCCATCTCAGCCTCGTGGCCTTGTGTGTGTGTGTGTGTGTGTGTATATATATATATATATATATATATATATATATACACACACATATATATGCAGTATATATGCACATATATATGGAGGGCCCTCCATATACATACATACATACAAAAAAAAATATATATATATATAATTCTGAATTCTGATGCATGGTTCTTGTCTAGTTTCCAAGAGTCAACACCAAGTCTTAGAATGCAGAGGATGAGAAAGCCTTTCCCTAAGCCAGAGGTGTGTGAGTTGGCAGGGGTCTTAGTTTGTGGCATCTACCACGGTTTCTGGGGTATAAATCTCCCCCTATGGTTGGCTTTAAGCTACCTAAACCCAGTAACCACTGTGAGCTGGCTCCAGCCCACACAGCCCTTCACTCCTTTTGGGACTCATGGGGCTATGTCTAGGAGCTGTTCCGGTCAGGACAATGGTTCTCAAAGTGCGGCCCCTGAACCAGGCTCATCAGTATCACCTGAGAACTCATTAGACAGGCAAATTCTCTGACCCACCCCAGACCTACAGAATGGGCGGATTGTGGAGCAGCAATCTGCTTTTGTAAGCCCTCCAGGCAGTTCTGATGCTTACCCAGATTTCAGAAGCTCTAGAACAATGGAGGAATGTGCCCTGTGCCAGTCCTGCTTGCCCCAAGCCACACGACGCAGTTGGGCAAAAAAGGCCTTGGAGGTGCAGATGCATGCAAGGGGTGGGTGAGCAGCGTGCTCACCCTGTCAGCTTGCTCTCCTCTCCCAAAAGGCAATGGGGGAGGGGGACTCCTGGCCTTCCACAGGCCTGCGAAACTCTTTGCCCATGGACCCACGTGTGGGCGGAAGGCTGAGCTCGGGCTCCAGGTGAATATATGACGGAAGCCCAGGGAAGGAGAGGGAATCCATGGGACACAGCTCTGGGCCCTCTCAAGAGGGAAAACGAGAAGAGATGCATAAAGGCAGAAGACTCAGCAACGTTCAGCCCTGGGCCTTCTAGGAGGACCCAGGGAGGTTCCAGATCTGAAGTATGTCTTGGAACTCAAGGAAGATGGTCAGACACCCTCACCCCGGAAGACCTAAGACAGCCTCAGGGCCCAGGCCCTCCAAGCCTCTGTAGGACATGTTTGCTGACTGGTTGTCTGGACAACTTCCCCTGACCACAATCCAGGTTTACTATTAACCAGAGACAAACAAATTAAGAGCCAAGCATCAGAAATGATGCAAGTTTCCTGTTGACCTTGGGAGGCCGTGAAACACCTGAGCAATCAGCAAGGGGATGATGTCACCTGCAGAAATGCCTGGCTCACAAGCCATGGCCGGCACGTGACTTGGCCTGAGTGCCCTGGTCACATGGGGAGAAGAGGGGTTCCCCACTGAGCTCAAAACACAAACAGAAATTGTCCTGTTGTGATGAAATCTATAAGTCATATAACGGGACAGTTTTTTCTCCTCCAAGTTTTTTAGTCTCCCAAAAAAGACCCAGAGCAAGCATTACTCAGCAGAACCAGGCCCTGCTGGGATGCTGGCCTACTTTCTGCTCTGGTTGGAACGTCAGCTCCTTTGCAGCTTCAGTCACTGTATTTCCAGGCGAGAAGCCTAAATGGAAGGGTTTTCTCTGAGTCACCTGCTGTAGAATTGCCTTAGCCAAAATCCTGGACTCAATGCCAACCCTCCCTTCCTGGGCTGCAGTGTCCCTGGCTTGTTATCACCAGAGCCTGCTTACCACTCCTTCCGCCTAGCCCACAGGGGCCCTTGTCGGGCTACAGCCATTGCTGGGTTAAGCCAAGGGAAGGGCTTGGGCTTTATTTCCGGTAGCACGTTACAAGTTGTAGGAGGCAGGAAGGGATGGGGAGGGGGCAGACAAAAGCCCTGCTTTCTCATGTCCCCCTTCTTCCAGACTCACTCTTTGCAAAGCAGCTGTTGACCACCTGGAATCCTGGCATAGGGCCCAGTGCTGTGGGTAATGCAAAGTGGACAGGCAGGGCACTGTCATCAAGGGGACTGTGTTCTACTGACGAAGACAAAACTTCCACAGTCCAACACAACAACAACTAACAAGGGAACAGCATGCAACTGACAACACAACCAGAGCGGTGATGCCAGGAAGGAACAGCACGAACGTTTCCAGTGCGTCTGAATTTTAGCCCTGCCCTGCACTAGCAGCAGTGTGGTCTTGGGTAAGCTGCTTAAATTCTCAGGGCCTCGGTGTACACATCTGTAAAATGGGGTAAACACTCCCAACTCATAGGGTGGTTGTGAAAAGTGAAGTAGCCGGTAAAAATGCGTGGCCCACTTCAGAAATTTTAATAGGTCCGTTAATTCCCTTTTGGGCCAAAATAGATTACAGACAGAAGCACCATTTATGTCTGGTCTCCGATCTCAGAGCAGGCTAGAAGAAATACAGTGCAAGCACTAGAAGGAAAGCTCAACAAAAGCAGGAGAGATTCCCACATAACAGCTTCATGGTGAGGGGACATCAAGGACAAAGTATAAAAGTAGATGCAAAAACAAAATGGCGCCCAGGGCCACACGGTATGACATAAGCAGCCATGAGCTCCAAGGCATTCTTGCATCAGGACAGCAGGCTGGATGCGGTCATGACAAAGCCATGTTCAGGGGGCTCTAAGAAGCCAGCCACGAGCAGATGGCATTTACAAATGTTAACATTCAGAGGGGCATTTTTTTAAAAAGTGATTAAAGACTGTGTGGATGGTAGATTTTCAGGTGGCCATTGTTTGTGGGGTTTTTACTCATTCTCTCATATAGTTGTCAGAGAGTTAACAGCTATGCTGAGGCATATCCTAGGGGTTTAATAACCCCATTTACTGTTAAGCCCATACAGTGTTGTAATGTGGTTTGCCCTGTCTCCCTTTTTTTTTGTTGTTGTTGTTTAAAAAAATGTATTTCTTTTCAACTACTTGAAAGGCAGGGAGGGAGAGATGGAGGGAGAGGGAAAGATGGTGGGGGTGGGGGAGAGAGAGGGAGATCTTCCACCTGCTGATTCACTCCTTGAATGCCCACAACAGCCAGGGCTGGGTCAGGCTGAAGCCATGCGCCAAGAACTCCTTACAGGTCTCCCACATGGGTGGGAAGGCACCCAAGCACTTGAGCCATCATCTGCAGCCTCCCAGGGTGCATTAGCAGTAAACTGAATTGGAAGCAGAACGGCCAGGACTTGGACCAGGCTCTCTGATATGGCATGTTGACACCTAAGCAGAGGTTTAACCCACTGAGCCAAGATGCCTACTGATTTCCTATTTTCAACCACCCAAAGCATCAACTTAAGTCAAAGGCAGGATCCATCTTCTCTTTGAAATGCAAATAACTGGTTGTCTCGAGGGCCTCCCTTGCTACCCCCACCAGCCTATTCATTTGCATAGTCCAGATTTTGATTAATGGTGTCACCATGTACCAGACATCAAGTTCATTGGGGAAATTAACATGTTATGTTTTCTAAGCACTTGTATGATCTATGTGAGCTCTACGTACAAGGTAGGATTACTTATTTCAGTTCATGGATGCAGAAGGTGAGAGGCAAAGAGGTAAGTACGCTGCCTGAGGTCACCTAGCTTCTAAGGAGGCCACTGGCACTTAGTTGCAATCCCAGGTCCTACCCAGAGGAGGCGCGCTCTACCTCTTAGGCTTTCCTTTGGTTTAGAGACACGCACCTCTGACCTGTGTGTGTGCGTGTGCGTGTGTGTGTGTTGGGGAGGATGAGGGAACGTTTCTTTTTCACTTGTTGAGCCACACAGGTGACCCTGGAAGGCAAGAATGTAGCCCCAAGCAAGGCTACAGGGCGGCCACCCCACCCAAGGCGAGAATGTTCCCAGGATTCAGAGCAGCGGCCATGCTCCGCCTCACACGTCTGCCTCCTCCCAGCTCCTGACAGATGCCAGAGGGCTGGCTGCTTCCCAGAGCTGGAGAGCTAGCTGCTCCCTGGCCCCAGCCTCCCAGGCTGGAGTCTGCTGCCCACCCTGTGCGGGCCGCTGCCTCTGAGCTCTGCAACAAAAGGGTCTCAACCTCCCTCAAACGTTTCCTTCAGTTTTCCCTTTGATTTTTGACATCTATGTCAAGCTGGTGGTTTTTTTTTTTTTTTTTTTTTTTTTTTAGGTGTAATATAGATGCAGTCCTTTGGGGGAATTAACTCATAGTAAGATGTCTCTGTGTTCAAAAATTCTCACTTTGAGCAATTAGATTTCTCCTTTCCCTTCTCATTCTGAGGCTTTGAGCTCCCACTGGGCTGTGTTCTGGAAACAGGCAGAGGGCTTCCCCCTTGTCTCAGCTTTTTTTCCTCCTTCCTCTCTGCACACATCGCACACCTCGCAATGGGGAGGCGATGCTGGCAGTGGGAAGAAAACCTGATGGCTCTGGGAGTTGCCCTTTCTCAGCTGGTGAGCTGTCCAGTGGTTCTAGGTTTCATTTTCCTTCTCTCGAAAATGGAAACTGGAACTTCTGCATGTGTGAGTTTAACATAAGAAACCTCCCCTACCTGACCTGTACAGCATGAACAAAGGGTGTGGCAAGTGCTAAGTTCTTATCTGAATCCCACTGATGCCCAGTTCCTCGAAGTCTTCCTGATGATCCCAACTCTGCCTGGTGTCTACTCCTCCCTTTTCTTTATTAAGAGACCCTCAGTTCTGCTTTGGGGAGTTAAGAAACTACATTTCCCAGGCCCCCTTGAGTTAGGGTATTCCTGGATGATAGGTTTTATGAGATGAAGGTGGAAGTTGCTAGGAAGAGGGCTTCTGAACAAGTTCTTTAAAGGAGCCCGGCTCAACAGACCTATGTCCTTTGCTCCTTAGCCTCTTTTGCCTCTTATCTGGAATGAGAATGTGATAGCTGGAGCCACAGTGGCCATGCAAGAATGGCCAAACAAATGGGAGGAAGGAGCCCAGGAAACCGAAGGCCTGGTTGGGAGCTGTGTTCAAGCCCTAGTCCACCAGGCTTCAGGGTTTACGTTGTGTAAGGGTGGGAGAAACCTGTTTCTTAGGATAGCTATTGCATGGAGCCCAGCACAGTCCTGCTGAGCTACTGGGCTGCTGCTCAATGCCTGGCAAGGCAGCCAGTACTTTTGTGATGCTCTGGTACATTTGATGTCAATGGTTGGGAACCAAGAGAGTAAGTGAAGATTTTAAAGATATGACAAAGGAAGTAAACAGTCTGTGAGAGAAGAGGTTCAGATTCAATAAAACTCATTCCATAATGTGTTCCACAGATACATGTCTGCATGTGACACGATGAGTGGGCAAGTTTATAAAATGTATACAATACTGCAGTATTACTCACGGCAGCAAAAGACTGGAAGCAGCCTAAGAACTCACTCTACTCATCGAAATGCTATCCTCTTGTACAACTCACGAGCTAAGCATGCGTTTACATGTTTAAACACTTGGGGAAAGATGAGGAACAATATTTTAGGATACATGACAATGACATAAAATTCAAAATTCCATTGGAGCACAGCCCTGCTCATTCATTCCTGTGCCATCCTCAGCTGCTTTCCCACCACAATGGCAGTGCCCACAGTGGTGAGAGGGGGCCTGGTCAAATATCTTCACTAGCTGGTCCTTCACAGCTAACAGTGCTGACCCCTGCGCAGCTGGAATGCTGGAAAGCCCTAGGAGCCCCACCAGGCAATGGCCTCTGGGGAGGGCGCATCCAAAGGACGTGGGCCACGGAAGACTTTTTTGAATTTTCCTTAAGGATTTTTTATTTGAAAGACAGAGACAGAGAGAGAGACAGAGAGAGAGACAGAGACAGAGACAGAGAGAGAGAGAGAGAGAGAGGGAGAGAGAGAGAAAGAAAGAAAGAAAGAAAGAAAGAAAGAAAGAAAGAAAGAAAGAAAGAAAGAAAGAAAGAAAGAAAGAAAGAAAGAAAGAGAAAGAAAGAAAAGGAGTGGAAAAAAGAAGGATCTTCCATCTGCTGGTTCACTCCCCAAATGGCTGCGACAGCCAGTCTTGGCCAGGCTGAAGCCAGGAGCCAGGAACTCTGTCCAGGTCTCTAACAAGTGGGGCAAGGGTCTAAGTACTTCTGTTGCTTCTCAGGCATATTAGCAGGGAGTTGGATCTGAAGCAGACTAGCTGGGACTCCCACTGGCTCTCTGATAGGGGATACTGGCATCACAAACAGCAACATAACCCATGGTGCCATAATACCGGCCCCCTTTTCTCAATTTTTAATCATGTGAATGCTCAACCTACCTTAAGCTCAATTTGAAATTTAAAAAGAGGGGGGAAATGGGATCCCTTTTCCATTCTGGACTGAAGGAGGAGGAAGGAGAAGAAGAAAGAGTTGCCAGGTTCTAGCCCCTTTATCTCTGGCCTGGGTGAGGTCCTGGGCCTCTAGGAGAGGCTGCAATATGAACCAGGACTTGCCACCATCCCTGTGGGGTGAGGGGTCAGCACTGCCCAAGAAAGGGGCCTGAAGAACAAGGGAAATGCCTGCTGGGAGAGCTAGGGGGAATGGACAACCACACCCAGGCTGTGGCCTCAGCAGCAGCTGATAAACAAAGAGCAGAGTGACTGGGATATGGACAGGCGAGGAGGACAAGGAGCCCAGCTCCATCGCTTCAGTGGGACTGAGATCAGACCTCTTGGACATCCACTTAAGACTTCACGGCAGCCCTGGCTAGAAAAAGTGAGCCCAGACAAATCATAACAGCAGATTGCTCAGACCTCTTCAGGATGCGTGGTTCTGCCACTCTGTAACTCCACAAGCCTCACTGCCTTTCCCTGCAGGTACAAGCTCTTCAGACAGGGAAGGAACAGGCACAGGTGGAGCAGCGGGGACACCGCAGCCCTGGACGACAGCCCATCTGGCAGAGAAATGGCAAGCAGGACGAGGCTGGAGGAGCCGGAGCACAGCAGGCTCCTCTGGAGCAAATCCAGGCAGACGCATTAACAGCCCGAGTGCTGGAAATCAGCAGTTGCTGCCCCAGAGGGCTGCTCCCTGAGGAAGCCCTGTTGAGGGCAGGCCACAAGTGGGAGTGGTGCTCGTCACCTGACCAAGGTGTGCTGTATCCTCCTGGCCCTCACAGTGTGGCCCAGCAGCCCAAAGGCCAGTCCATGTCCTCAGACAGTGCTGGATGGACAGCCCAAAGCCTGCCCTCCGGGTTTCCTTAGCCTGTGTCCTCTCCCTGCTCCCAGATAAGTCCCTAGGCCTTAGCCATGACCCAGATCAAAACTTCCCCTCTTGGGGCTTGTGCTGTGACATAGCGGGTAAAGCCACCACCTGCAGTGCCAGCATCCCATATAGGTGGCCAGTTTGAGTCCCAGCTGCTCCACTTCTGATCCAGCTCTTCATTATGGCCTGGGAAAGCAGTAGAAAATGGCACAAGTCCTTGGACCCCTGCATCTATGTGAGAGACCTGGAAGAAGCTCCTGGCTCCTGGCTTCGGATGGGCACAGCTCCAGCCATGGTGGCCAGCTGGGGAGTGAACCAGTGGATAGAAAACTCTCTCTCTCCCTCCCTCCCTCCCTCTGCTTCTCCTTCTCTGTGTGTAACTCTGACTTTCAAATAAATAAATAAATCTAAAAAAAAAAAGATTTATTTTTATAAAAAGAAAAACAGAAAACTTCCCCTCTTGAACCCAGGAGCCGACTTGAAGGAGCTCCCAATGGCCAGAAATGAGATCGTTTGAGCCAAACAAGATTGAGTCAATAGATTATAACTTGCAGACCAGAGATTAAAAAAAGAAGTAATGAGTCTACACTGATCACTGACATAGGTAAGTACTTGAATAAACAAATAAACTAAATAACGAGGGGAGAAAGGCTGGTTCTTCCTGACAGCAGATTCCTGTTCGGGAACATTGGGAGGCAGTGTGCAAAGAGAAAAGCACTCTTTGGCAAACAATGTTTAAGCCAGGATCATCAATAGAGATGGACACTCATGATGAATGGATGAAGAGAAACAGGTATTTCTATAATCTCAAGGTGTCTCCCCCACAAGATCTTTATGAATTACAAAAGGGAAAATAGCGCTGGCTATTTTCCCAACACCCCAGGTTCTAGTCCTGGTCGGTGCCCCGGATTCTGTCCCGGTCGCTCCTCTTCCAGTCCAGCTCTCTGCTGTGGCCCGGGAGGGCAGTGGAGGATGGCCCAAGTGCTTGGGCCCTGCACCCGCATGGGAGACCAGGAGAAGCACCTGGCTCGTGGCTTCAGATCAGCACAGTGCGCCAGCCGCAGCAGCCATTGGGGGGTGAACCAATGGAAAAGGAAGACCTTTCTCTCTGTCTCTCTCGCTCACTGTCCACTCTGCCTGTCAAAAAAAAAATAATAATAATAATTAAAAAAAGGGAAAAGAGCAACTTTGTAGTGGAACAACTTGTCAGACACCACTTTCACTCTGGGATCAGAGTTAACACAAGTAATACAAAATGATATCTGGTATCACTTGATCGGATGCACTGAAAAAGGCCCAACATAAACCTCTGTGATGTTCTTATCAAAAAAGCCAAGCCCCCAGATGGATGTTTGGCACAGTGGTTAAGCTGCTGCTGCGGACAGCTGCATCCCGAATCAGAGTATCTGGGTTCATGTCCTGGCTCTGCTTCGGATTCTAGGTTCCCGCCAGTGCTCACCCTAGGAGGCAGCAGGTGATGTCGCCTGCCACTCATGTTGGAGACAAAACTGAGACCTGGACTCCTGGCTTTGACCTGGCCCAGCCTGGGCAATTGTGGGCATTTGGGGGAGTGAACCAAAGATAGAAGTGCTTTCTTTCTCTGCCTTTCAAATAAAATGAAGAACGTTTCTTAAAAATTCACAGACTACGGGAACCCCAGCCAAATCGTCAACTAAATGCACTGTGTGATGCTGTGTGATGGTCCAGGGTGGGCTCCTAGACCAGATCATGAACACTAGTGGGGCAACCTATGAAATATGAATGAAGAGGCTGGTGCTGTGGTACAGTAGGTTAAGCCTCTGCCTGCAGCACCAGCATCCCATATGGAATCCAGTTCCTGTCCTGGCTGCTCCTCTTCCAATCCAGCTCTCTGCTTGTGGCCTGGGAACACACTGGAAGATGGCCTATGTGCTTGGGCCCCTGAACCCACATGGGAGACCCAGAAGAAGCTCCTGGCTCCTGGCTTTGGTTCGGCCTTACTCTGGCTGTTGCTGCCATTAGGGGAGTGAACCAGTGGATGGAAGACTTCTGTCTCTCTATCTCTCTCTGTCTGTAACTCTACCTCTCAAATAAATAAAAGAAAATCTTTTAAAGAAAAAGAAATATTAATGAAATCTGTAGTTGTTGTTAATTTCCTGGTTTTGATAACAGCACTGTAAATATGTAAGATCTTAACATTTAGGGAAAGTGGGTGAAGGTATTTGGGAACTCTTTGTACTGTTTTGCAACATTTATGTAATCAGAAATTATTTCTGAGAAACAAATCTTTCCTCTTTTGTCCAACTTCCCCAGAGTCACTCCCACAGCTCCTCCACACGCTGTGCTGCCATGATCTGTTCACAGGTCTGTCTCCTGTCTCCGAATTCCAGATCAGGGACTGTGCTCTCTGTTCTTTGTTTTGATCTCGTCTTATTTGAATGGAAGCTCATCTTCTCTTTTGCTTCATAGAATTTCCTAGCCTGCTGTAAAAAGCACCTTTGGTTCATTCAGTTGCTCAGACCCAAGTCCTAGGGGTCACAGCCGACACCTCCCCATTTGCCTCATTCCACAGTAGGCCCACTAGCAAGTCCTGTTGGGGCTCTACTGTCAGAGTTTATCACCAACCAGACCACTTCTTCCCACTCTGACTATAAACCTCATCAGGACTGCCATCATTTCTCACCTGAATGCGAGCCTCACCTTACTAACTGTTCATTCCATACAGGAACCTTTTACTTATGTATTTGGGAACTTTCTTTTTTTTTTAAGATTTATTTTGCTTATTTAACTTTTAAAAAATCATTTATTTATTGGAGAGGTGGAGAGGCACAGAGAGAGAGAGAGAACTCCCATCCACTGGTTTACTCGCTAAATGTCCCACAACACCTCCCAGGGTGCACATGAGCAGGAAGATGGCATCAGGACACAACCCAGGCTCTCTGATTTGGGATGTGGGCATCCCAACCAGTATTCTAATGGCTGTGCCAAATGTCTGCCCCAGAGGGAGATTTCAAAGAGGACAGGAAAGTCTGCTCTTATATCACTTTCTGTGCCCAAACCCTCTGGTGGTTTCTCAGCAGGTCCCATCAGAGTCCCTACCTGCCCTGGCCCCTGCCTCCCGAGACCTGCCTGTCCTTGGAACCCATCTGCTACTTCCACCCCTCCCACAGAGAGGCCAACTTTGTTTCCTTCTCTCTACTGTGCCTCTTCCACAGCTCTTCACACGGGCATCTTCTCAGCATGGAGGATTCAGCCTCGTCAGAGAAATCTTACCTGACCTGCCAGCTAAAGTGATCCTGCTCTTCACCTGACATTCTTTGGTGTTGGTCTGTGAGGACTGCTGTAAGGAAGGACCACCAACCATGTGGCTTAACAACGACAGAACTGGAGGCTGGAAGTCCAGGTGAAGATGTTGAAGGCTGGTTCCCCTGGACAGTTGGAGGAAGTCTGTTCTTGCCCCTCTCCAAGTTTTTGGTGGTTGCGGGCAATCTTTGGGGTTCCCTAGCTTATAGATGCATCACTGAGGTCTCTGTATTCATTTTTACGTGGCTTTTTCCCCTGCGTGTTCATCTCTGAATTTCCCTTTTATATGGACACCAGTCATGTTGAATTAGACCCACCCTAATGACTGCATTCTAACTCGATGACCCCTGCAAAGACCCTATCTTCAAGCAAGGTCACATGCCGAGGCACTAGGGGTTAGGACTCTAACATACGAGTTTGGGGGAAATACAGTTCAACCATAACAGTTCCATTGCTTTGTTTTATTTATTTAGAGCTTTTGTGACCACTGTAAATTATCTCATTTGTTTTTGTTTGTTTCCTGTGCTCCCCAGTCTCAGTGACAGCTCCTGCTGCTCTGCGGAGGAAGCCTTGGGGCCCATTTCTCCAGCATGGGTCAGGCTACTCCCTTAGGTTGCCCCAGATGAGAAGAACAGGACCTGCCCTCATTCACATCCCATAAGCAACCAATGGGCTCGCTCCAGATTCATCACTTAATGTCCATCCAAAGATTTGTAGCGTCTAACCCTGGATCCAGCCATGAATCTTGGAGCCCCAGAAAGGCTTTATCCCTAGTAGATATTCAGTAGCTATTTGTTGAGGCAATGAAGGCAGTATGTTGTTTGGACTTTGAACCAGATTTCCTGTCCTCCAGTCAACAGAAGGGCAAGGGCTATGGTGCTAGACTGCTTGGGCCTGCCACTTAAGCTGTGAGATCCACACTTTGCCTCAGTTTCTCCCAACTGTAAAATGGGGCTACAATCAAAGTGCATCCCTAAAAGAAGAGTATGAAATGAGGTGACCCGTGTGAGGACCAATGGCCTGCTCCACAGAAGTAGCCCGTGCTCACCCAGGTTTTCTTCTAGGCCTGGTCTGAGGTCTGAGGAAACTCCTGATGGCCAAAGGCACCAGAGCCCAGAGAGTCTTCTGTGGTCAACTGGGGATGCAAAGGCTTCACGTTTCTGCTCAGGCTCCACCTTTGGAATTCCCCCATCCCCAAAGAAAGAATAATCCGGCACCAGGGAGATTTTGAACATAAATCTTTGGTTACTGGGCTAGGTGGTGCTGATTGAGGAGAAAAAAGGAGAGTCTAACTCCTGAGAGTCTATATTGAACCCCTGATGTGAGTCTGCGGCCTCCAGATGGCTTTGCCGGGCCTGTTTCCTTGGAATCAGCCACTGTGGCTCAAAACCTCCTGTGTTACAACAGGCTTGCCCAGCCACCCTCAGAAAAGCTGGCCCAGCATTCACCCCACTCGCTTCCTGATTTAATACCAGTATACAGTCATGCCTATAGGGCTTTCTATAGATGTGCATACTTAGAAACCAGCAAGGCTAAAAATATCTCCTCCTTATACCTCTTTTCTCCATTTTCTGTAGGTTCCTTATTCTAATACTTACAGCTCAGGAGCTGTGACATTACTGTCAGAGGGCAGTGACCTCTGGCCATAGGTGGCAGGGAACAGAGGACAGGCCCTGTCTGGGGGGCTAGGGGTAGGATCCCAGCCCCATGTCTTGAGTCCTTCCCCTTGTCGGGCCTCAGTGTCCCTCAGCCGAAGGAGCAACTGAACTCGATGATCTAAGTGTTTTCTTGCTCTGCTATTCACTGGCACCTGGCTTGGTGTGCTAAGAGCAATCATGCTCATGGGAAAAGTCAACACAGACACACCAGCTCCATTGATTCCTGTCCATTCATCCACTCGACAAATATTTATTGAGCACGTGCTATGTGTCAGATAAAAATCTCAGCTCTTAGGGAACTTAAACATTTCCATCAGAGAAGACAAACAATAAACAAAATAAATTCAAGCATGGAGTATGTCTGATTGTGATTTGTGCCATGGAGAAAAATACAGCATGAGAAGGGGATGGGGAACTGGGTCTTAGGGGGTTAGGGAAGAACTCACTGAAAAGGAGGTATTTGAATAAAGACACAGAATGAAGCAGTACCACGAAAACACCTGGGCGATGTGTCCCAAGCAGAAGAGATGCAAATGCCAAGGGACATACCTGGTGTACCTGAGGCTACTGTGTAGAGTCCAGTCGAGTTGGCAGGGAGAATGTGCCACCTGAGAGAGAGGTCTCATGGGCTGCTGCCATGATATTTACTGCTTCTTACAGCAAATGGGTTGGGCGCCACTGCAGGGTTTTGAGCTGAGGAGGGACCTCAACTCATCCAGAGTAGCCTGGCTGCTGAGTTAGATCATAACGGACTGCAGAGGCACAAGAATGGAAGCAGGGAGACTGTTAAGGAGACCTACAAACCTGAGAAGGAATGAGAGTGGCTGAGAGCAGGATGGTGGGGGAGATGGGGAGAGGTGGTCAGGATCTGTGTGTAGGCCAAAGGGTTTGCTGATGGCTGAGTGTGGATGTGAGAGAAACAAAAGCCAAATATGGCCAGAGCAATGATGGAAACATCATGAACTCCAATGGAGAAGACTGTGCAGGGAGGAGAGGTCAGGAAGTCAGTGTTGGACAGTGAGGAAGGAGATGCCTCTTAGACATCCCCATGGAGGAGCTCAGTGGACAGTTGGGTGGATGATGCGGGCTGCAGGAGAGAGTCATCTGCTTACAATATTCATGGTACATGAAGCCACAGGCCCCAGTGAGATCTCAGAGATGGTGTGGAAGAGGGTGGGGGCCAGCACTGAGCTCTGGGACACACGGACATTCAGAGGACAGGTGAGAAGGAACCAGCAAGGAGGGGGGAGGGAGAATCACCTAGGGAGGCATGGATGGTCCATCTCTGGGCTTCTGCTCTTCATCTATTCAAGGTGGGGGGCCCTCCAGGGTCCCCTTCCACTGACACCTAAAATGCAGAATGTAGCTGTGCCCAGACCCCAGCACTAATCCTTTCCCAGATCCTTCTTCCACGGCCCCCTAGTATGGTGGCACCTGCAGAAGGTCTGGAGTTATGGTCACGGCGAGGGGTGTGGGGAGTGGGGACGCTGGCAGCTCTGCCCCAGCAGTCCTCTGCAGGTTCCACTTGAGGAAGGGAGAGGGCCAAGGCCTGGGGACTGGGGGTAGGAGTCGCCAGGGCTGCAAAGGCAGAGCTGGCTTTATTCCAACACTGCTTTTCACTGGTGGCAATGAGAAGCTTCAATTTCCCCTTGTGATAGAATCCAAAAGGGGAATGACTGCTTGGGTTATTACAGGCACATGGTCCTGAGTGCTTTCAACAAAACACATTAGGGTAGCCTCTAACTACATCTCTGTTCCCTTGAGAATTTGAGAAACACTGTTTTGTCCCCCTTCCCCCCAGAGATTATGTGCAAGTCCTCTCTACCTGGGCACAGCAGAACCTTGCCCTGGAGGCAGCTAGGGGTCAGCCCTGCAAGACTCTGGGCCTCAGGGAGTGTGGGCTCTGCCCTGCAGGGCCTCACCCTGACTGGCTCCCAGCTGGAACCGCCAATCATTCCTCAGTGAGCCCAGCTCTTGCTCTATCACCTTACTCATTCATTCACTGCACACATTGTCTCCCAACAACTCCTACTGTAAAGCCACACAGTAAGTGAATTCACACATGGCACAACTGGATCCGAATCCTCATCTCCTCTTCATCTTCATCAAAACAAGACTCCCATATTTTGTGAAATAAAACCCTACGTGCAGGGTTCTCATTGGGTTTTGCAAGATTGTTCATTTACGAACAAGGAGATGAAAGCTTAGAGAGATTAATTTGCACCCTCCAGTCACTCAGAAAGCTGGAGCTTTGTATGCAGGCATCAGCCCCTTGCCACCAGGCTCCCATGTGCCTTCCTCAGTGAGGACACTGAGTCTCAGAGGAGAGTCTCGCCAGACAGGGCTCTGAGAGAGTTGAGATCGGGCCCAGGAGTCCTTCAGAGGGCTGCCCACCACTCGTCTGAGGATGCACCATGGGCACGGCCCAGGGAGACAGTGGGGAGGGTCTGCACAGGGAAGACCCCTGGCCCGATGCCCTGCTGCTCAGTGGCCCCATGACTCACCATGAGCTGGGACAGGCAGGGTCCTGAGACTGGACGTGGGTACAGGGAGGCAAAGTTGAGCCGGAGGAATCCTGCCCTGAAGGGAGATACTCACCCACCCTCCTGCCCCTGCTGCCTCCTGTGGGGACCTTCGCAGCCTCTCCACCTGCTGGGGTTCAAGACACCTTTCAAGGCCCAGCCCCTTTGATCTCCCTGGGAAGTCTGCCCAGCTTCCTGCAGCACCCGGAGCTGCTGCTTTTCCTCATGAGCACGTTCTAAAGGCCTTTCCCTGTTGCACAGTCTCTGGCTGTGCATGCACTTGTGCCTGTCACCTGGGCAGTCAGAGAGCCCCTCGGGGGCTTAGCCCACACTGGATTTCCCCTCCTCAGCACCCAGGCAGACACACTCTCGTTGATCTTGCAGTATGAAAAAAGTTATGAAACAGGGCTGCGTTACCAAGTGAGAATTACAGGAATTCAGAAGGGGCAATGGTTGCTTCATGAACAATCTGGCAGCCCGTTGTGCTGGGAGGCAGAGGGAGGGAACATGCATGTGAAAACGGGAGGGGCGGCATGAGGAAGAGGAAACAGATTGGACAGGGGCATGAAGACAACATTCCTCGAAGGGGAAACTCAGGAATCAGTCATGTATGGGAGGTGGCACTCTTGCTGGCCAGGGGAGGCCCCCTGGCAGGGCCAGGATCACAGGCCTGAGCTCACAGACAGCAGTGGCCTTACCAGATGGGCAGTGGTGGAGACAGGGACACTGTAGGGTGCTTTTCAGTCTACAAAGGGTATTTTACTGGGATTCTGGGCTCCCACAATTTCCACTACGAGGCTTTAGGATAATCATTATCCTCATGTTACAGATAAACAGACTTGAAGTCACTCACTCAGACGCATGGCAGTAACCACAAGCAGCAGGTCTGGGGCTTGCCTCCAAAGCTTGGGAGGAAGGTGGGTTGGAAGTGGTGTGGCCTGCTGATGCGCACCCTGGCAGGCAGCAGCTGATGGCGCAAGTATTTGGGTCACTGCCAACCCCATGGGAGACCTGCATTAAGTTCCCACTCCTGGCTTTGGTGTGGCCTAGCCCTGGCTATTGCAGGGATTTGGGGAGCAAATGTGTATATGGAAAATCTCTTTGTGTCCTTCAAATAAATAAAAGTCCCCAGCTAGGAGCATGTGGGAACATCCTTTACTTGCAGGGATCTTGTGGAGACCTGATAAGGGAGGGCATTTTCATGGCAAAAACTTCTCTTGGGCTCACTGACCCTGTTTCTTTTCCTTCCCTGGGCTCACAGGCACTTTTCCAGCCCTACTCCCCATGTCCCTTGAGTTCTGGCCCTTGGTGTGGTGCAAGGGAGGTGGC